GGAACTTTTTAGATAGTCTAAATTTCTCTGAAAAAATAACGTTTTGAAATTCCTCTCGTTTGAAGATTCTTCCTCAAAGGAGAAACATCGAAAAGTCATTTTCTCAGAAAAAATTTAAATTATCAAAAAATTTTGACGTTGGCAAAATCGTTTCAAATTAGATCAAAGATCCGAGAAATGGTTCACAAATTTGTTTATTCTTTCGCAAGTTTGATATTCGCTTCGCGATATTTAATGTGATGATATGAGAAGATTTACCCGTCGGTTTTCCCCAGTTAACGCAAGAGTGTCTTTTCTGATCAGCGTTGAAATAAACGCAACGAGTGTAACAGAATCTCTCTCTCTCTCACTCTCTCTCTCTCTCTCACTCTCTCTCTCTCTCTCACTCTTGTAAAACATAACGGAAACCAGATGGGATCCCTAAAACATATCCCGTAGCAGGAATAACGTATTTTCTTAAATTGCGTTTACGCTTTGAAGCGAAATATAAATTACCGGAAACTCGACGTATTATACAACATACTACTACCGAAATGAAGCTAATGACTGTCGAGAAGTTTTAATTAATAGTCGTTAAGCTTAGGCCTCGTAATTCTTACTTTCTACGTTTATTAATTTTGAATGAACGTCCGTTTAAAGCTAAAGGCGAGTTATATTAGCGTTCAATATGACTCATTGTCAGGTAATATTGGAAATTTCTTCGACACTGGTTTCAATCAGTCGACTGATAACGAACGTGTTGCGATAAGCGCGCTATCGTTAGCCAAATCCTCGAAACATATGTACGCAACGCGGAATATATTACGAGCGAGATGACGTTTCTCGAAAAAAAAAAATCGCTGGAATTTTATACAGGATCGATCTCCTTTTTCGGCCGGAGTTGTGTAATATTACTCGCGTGTATTATTGTTACGCCCCGTCATCGAAATAAATCGACGAGGACGTCTCTCGGGAAATAATAAGACTGACATTTTTACGCGGAGCAAATGTCACGAAATAAAAAAGGGTGCAGGAGCTAAACGAGTGTCCTCCAGTGGCAGCAAAGTGGAAAATAATCTGTATCATATTTATCACAACCTTATATTGTGTGCGTTATTCTTTCATCATCCTTACATCGTGTTATTTTATCGTATTTGTTACACGATCATCTTTCAATACATTGCATTAGATACTGTATATTGTAAATAATGTTACGTCGTTATTATACTTGCGTTTTTAAATTACATAACAACCCAGACAGTACCGTGTCCAAAATATAATGTCTTTTTAGACATTAAGGTAAATGTACCAATCCCTGGACACGTATCCTATGTCTTGACATTTTCATCATTTTAGTCTTTAACCCGTTGAGGTCACATGGGGTCCAGTGGACCCCAGGCTTTTTTTTTCCTTCTTCTTCTTCTTCTTCTTCTTCTTAAAAGTATACTATTTTGAGAGTAAAACGCACAAAGTTTTTTTTACTCTATCTAAAAAAATGTTGATAAATATTTTTGTGAAAAAAGTCAAATTTCTCGAAAAAAAATTTTTTTCTCGCGTTTTTTCAACATAAAAAAATTTTTGAAATTATTGGATTATCAAGAGAAAGTCATAAATTAATTCCAGTTCAAGGTTTGAGTCGATACATCAAAAAGAACGCAAATGGAAACTGTTGTGGGGTCCATCGGACCCCATGTGACCTCTAGTTATTTTTAGGAGGTGTGACCTCAACGGGTTAAATAAGTTATAACGCGAATTAAAATCAAAGAATCAAAGATAAAAATATTTTTCTTGTATTATATTTTTATCTTTGACTTTTAATCGCGTTATACTTATTTAAACACTAAAATGATAAAGGTGTCTAGACATATAGGTCTTAAGCGTCCTGGCATTGGTACATTTACCTTATATCATAATAGTTATTTGTGTAACAAGTGTCGTAAGATGAAAATTCCCGGGTGCGGTTACCGCACTCGCCTTCGGCTCGTGCGTAAACTCCGCACCCGGGAATTTTCATCTTTACACACGACTTACACTCCCTATTTTATGTGGCAAGTGCCTGGAAAGTGGCCTATCACGCACGCGTAGCGTGCGCAATGGGGCACTTTCCATGCACGTGTTGCATAAAAGGTCTTAGATATCTTTAATACATCTTTAAGAGTAAGTCTTACGTCTCGATTTTAGACAAAATTGCCGAAAGATCTTTTAGGAAATGCTTTTGATGCGTAACGTAGGATCATCAGGATCGAGTCATCAGCGAAAGAAGGAAAGAACGCCTTCTCGCTAAGAATCGAGGCAATTTTACGCGATTGCATTCAAGCGAATTAACCGTTACTTTACGACGTTGCGAACTGTAAGCTTTTCCCTGCCGCGTTTGTGCCTTCTCACAAACTCTGAGTCGCGTGCGCGTCGCAACCGATTCACCGTAGGTACATTTAAATCCCACGAGATTTAAAGGGAATAACTTATAGCTTATAGCGTTTTTCTTTGGCAGAACTGATGCGCACTCAGTGCACATAAAGCCGTCGTACACAAATCAACGTAAAGTGTATATATGTTTAATATAAACGGGTTAACTCACGAAAGTCTCAATATTCTTTATTGTACTATTTGGTAAAATATGTATTGGGCATTTTATCAATCAAAATATTTGCATTTTACTTTAAAGATTAAATCAGTGTACAACGGCTTTATGCGTAATGAGTTCGCAATAGTTCTGCCAGTGAAAAACGCTATTATACCAACGTCGCATAATATTTAACCTTAGCTTAACTTATTCTTTTTAAGGAGACAGTTAGAGAGGAAGAGTGAGTTAAGCTAAGTTATTTTAGCTGAAATATTATGCGACGTTGGTGCAACCGGGTTTTAGAACCCAAAAAGCGCGTCAAGTTCTTTCTCAATGTATCCTTGCTTTCTATTACAAAATCTCATGATCTGGCGTAATCCTAGCTAGGTCCATCGCACAATTCTCTTAAAAACCTCTTTCACCTTTTACTTCTCACGGTTTAAAAACCGCATCGTCTCTCGATCGTCTCGCGTCGACGAGATTTCGTCGACCGCGTTCTTTCCAAAATCGGAATTTATCCCAAACAACGAAACAACACGCATGTCCCAAATTTGGGACAAAATCCCGTGGCAAAATCGCGCGATCGATCGCGGGGAAAATGGTCGAAAACCGATGGTTCCATAAAAGCGGCCCGACTTTCCCATGAGGAAGGATGTCGTTCCAAGGAGGGAACGAGGAAAAAGTTTACGCGCGCTTGCGCCCGCGATCGGCCGCGTAACGCGCGGAAGGGTCAAAAAGAAAGAGGGAGAGAGAGAGAGGAGGAAGGAGATCTCACATTTTTCCTCCCCTGCCTCCCGACGTGGTCCACGTGGCCTCGTTGAAAGCGGCTGGCGTCTCGCCCCGAATTCGTCGAAGCTCACATCTCTCCCTGCGCGCGCGCGCGCGCGCGTCGGGAAAGTCCGCGGCGAGGAGAATGAATCACGATTCACGTACGGTAAACACCTGGCGGAAAAATCGACTTGACGTATCCGCGATCTCCTCTCCGCGGAGCCGCGATCGGCGAATGCATCGAGTACGCGCAAATTTTCGTTTTTTTTTCTCTCTTTCTTTATCTCTTTTTCCCTGTCTTGCCGTTTTCAAAATTCACGCATCAACAAACTCACCTCGACTCGTTTCGCGAGCGCGTTATCGCGGCCGATTCGCCGCGACCGATAAGCGCGATCGCGTTGCCAGACGTTGCTCAGATACGCTCGACGGTCCTCGACGACCGACGAAAGCGTCCACTCCACCCCGTCGCCGTGCACATACTGACGAACTGAGTGAACTGACGTCCGATCCGACTCCGGAATAGTCCGGAACAGTGCTGCGATTGTGCGATTATTCCGGAACCGACGACCGACCAATGCGCCGCGATTGCCGCGATTACGGAACTCGCGGTTTGCCGCGAAGTTGGCGGCATCTAGCGAGATCGCAGAGAAGTAAGGCGAAGTCCCTAGAAGCTGCGCGTGAGCGCGAAATGTCACTAGAAGCGCAAGGCGCGTTCTGCAGAAGCGACAGTCAATTCAGAATCTAATTGGTTGGAGTCGATCCGCGCCGTTTATCATCTTGACAAGTTAGTCGCTTGTTCTTTGTTTTTACAATAAAAAATTATAATTCTACTAATTAGTTTAAGGAATATTAATTAGTTTAAAATTGTTATTAAATCGGTGATTAAATATACGTTTCGGAAAATTCAACAAATGCTGCTCTTCCCATAAATAATTCTTTTTAAATCATATCGTTTCACCAGTTGCTCGTAGATTTGTAAATTCAACAAACGCCTTCTTTTTGTAAATAATTTAAAAAATAAATCATAATTTTGTCAGTTGCTCGTAGATTTGCAGTTGTATCGTACGTTATCTTTTGCAATTAAAATTTATAATTCTGCACGTAACACTAATTAGTTTAAATTTATTATTAAATCAGTAATTAATATACGTTTCAGAAAATTCAATAAACGCCCCCCTTTTCTCCATAAATAAATTTTTTAAAAATCATACCATTTCGTCAATTTGTATTAACGAGTAGATTTGTATTTTTATTTAAAGATTCATTCAGCGTTAAATAACAATTACAATTATGATATAATAATGAACTTGAATACTAATTAGGAATAAGGGAGTCATACAATTTTTATACAAGCCAAGATCATAAATCTTTTCTTCCATTCCCACTTTCCCACCCACGTTAGCCGAGAAAGAGACTCGTTATCGTGACAACTGCAAATTCCTTCTTTTTCACATGATTCTTTCGGCCGTAACACGAGCTAGAAAAATCATCGTAATTAATCGCTCATCGCGCGCGAACTGCGAGCAAAGTCAAATAACGTCGAATTACCCACGCTCACGGCGAGAGCCGAGAACTCGCTCCTCTCTTTAGAGCCGCTTCGCAACGCGTCGACGTCTAGGGGAAAGTTGGACGTCACCCGCCGCCACCACCGCCACCGCGGACCGCCGCCGTCATCGTCGCCGCCGTCGCCGTCACCGTCGACAGAGCAAAGCGAGCGAGAGAGCCCGGTCTTCCTTCCGTTCCGCGCCACGACGTGTCGTGCCCGTGCCCCGTGCCCCGTGCCGTGTCGTGCCGTGCTGTGCCGTGACTGCCGTGCACTCGTGCAGTGTCGTGTCACGTAGCGATCGCGCCAGGCAGCGTTTTCTCGCGCGACGTCGTAGGTCGTAGGGCACGCGAGGGAGAGAACGAGAAAGCGGAGCCGAGAAGGAAGGTATCGCGAGACAGAGAGAGAGTTGGCGAGCAGGACACTCGGCGCGAGACAACCACTCCACCTCCTCTACCTCTACCCCTCGATCCGTTTCCCGCCTCCCCCGGTGCGAACATGAATGAGGAGTACGACGCGATCGTCCTCGGCACCGGCCTGAAGGAGTGCATCCTCTCGGGCATGCTCTCCGTCAGCGGCAAGCGGGTGCTCCACATCGACCGTAACAAGTACTACGGCGGCGAGTCGGCCTCCATCACGCCCCTCGAGGACCTGTTCAGGTGGGTATACTCCAGTACTCGTGTACTCTCGTCCGTCAGTCCGTCATCGGCAAGATCCTTCGGCCCGCCCCCCATTTTCTCTCTCTCTCTCTCTCCCTCGAGCAGCGGGAAAACGCCTCGGAAGGAGGACGTCTCCGGCCATCGAACGCGATCCCTCGAACCGTTCGATAATGTTTCCGAACGTTTTACGTTACACGGTCGTTACACGAGCCCGCCCCTTCCCCTTTCCTCCCTCCATTCTTCCTTTCTTCCGCGCCCCCTCTCCCTCCGGCGGGAAACCATGGTTGCCGACGACAGCTGGGGCGACTTGACAGGATACGATTGCGAATATCGATCTGCTTTCCTTCCGCGATCGAAATCTCGCCGATCGATACGCAGGAAAGGAAAAAGGAGGAAAAACCGGAGCGGGAGAAGGGCGGAAAAGATACTTTCCCGCGGGGAACGTGTCGTATCGTCGGAACTGCGCCGCATACGGGCGCGAGGGGGGAAGCGTATCGATTCTCGAGCCCGCATTCCCGCCGCGCGCGCGAATCGCCTGAACGTGGCCGCGCGCGCGTTTGATTATTGTTCTTTCTAAGCGATTATAATCGAGTCGGCGCGGCGTCGAAACGCCAGGACTCCGCGCGTAACTTCCGCGGTTTCATTTCCAAGAATCGCGGTTATAACGGTAAGAAATATTGCAGGTTGCGGGACAACGACGCAGGACGCAGTCGCTCCGTTTTGGCGGAGCGCGCGACTTCCGGCGCGTTCTACGTGGAGATTGTCCACGAAATGAATTCTCATTCTGACGTCGCGTCGGCGAGATTAGCCGATCTCTGTTTCTCGCGTGTCGCACATTGCACTTTCTGCACTCGAAATGAAATGAAATGTCATGTAATTGCTTAGACAACGCAATTGAAGATGTCTTTAAGACATCTTTAAAACGTCTTATGATATGATATACCTTAATGACATCTTTAAGACACCTTAGGTCTCAATTTTGGACATTGTGTTGTCTGGGTGGACGTTGGAGGGGCAAAAATAAACAGTACAAAAAGTTACTACAGACGTAAACCAAGTTTCACTTGCGCTTTTGTTCTACTCAAAATGTGTGAAAATACATGTAGAGGGGAGGAGATAGAGAATAGACGAGATTTCTGGCACGGAAATTAAACAGATTTATTTATACATTGGGATTTTAGAGCGGAAACCAACGCCGCATTTACTTAAGTCCGAATGCTCGACGCTAATTACGAATTCTGGTCGTTCAGTCGTTGCTACCAGACGAACGGCGGAAAGTTCGGTACCGTCGGCCTTTGCAACGGTTTCTGCACTCGAGTGTAGAAAGGAGAAGGAAGGGAGAAGAGGGAGAAAAAAGAGAATACTCCGTTCTCCCTACCTTCGAAAGAACCGTTCGATTGAAATCGTTCGTCGCGGCGCTGCCGCGTAATGATTTGACTCCGCGTTAAATTTTAAATTCTCCTCGGCAACTTCCTTCGTCACAATTTCGCCTACGGTTGTCTGGGACGTCAATCTTCATCCCGATAGTTCATCCACGCTTCACTGCGGTATTCCGCACTGGCGCTTCTCAGCTGCACTCTCGACACCTCTCGGCCTTCCCTTCTCTCCGACCAACCCGCGTTAATTTTATTTTTTAATATAAAAAGGAAAGTTTGCGTCATGTACCTTTTTGTAATAAAAATTTATATTACTGCGGGTAATATTTAATGTCCAAGTTCACAAATTATTATTAAAACATAAAAGAAGGCAAATGTAAATACGCCTCGGGCACGCCAAGCTTTATGTTTTATTTTAATTTTTAATCCGTTTTACATAACTTAGTATTTGTGTGAAATTATTATAATACAGTCGTAGAACAATGAAATAAAATTTTATTAATTAAACACTACGTGTAATACCTTCAAACTTTTTTTTTATCCCAGTACTTGGCTAATTAAATCAATTATTTTATATCTATTTTTCAGCGGTTATTTTTTTATTTAACACTAGGACTATCAAGGAGATCAAAATGACTTGTTTGACATTTTTAAAAATAATCTATTTTTAAAATATTACAATTTTTGAAATTTTTTCTGACTTTTATTGAAATATACAGATCATTAATTTTATAAGTTTGTTTTCTCTTTTTTTATTTTGATTCCTTCGGTAAAAATAGATATAAGTTAATCTTCTGCAGTTCTAGTGCATGTTAATATCCTTGCATTTACGCTTTTTCTAATTTTTCTGCTTCCTTCCTGTTTGCTTTTTTCATCTTTCCTCGAAACTCCTTTATTTCTTCCCGTTTTCTTTCACAATTTCTGTTTCTTTTCGTTGTTTATTTTATTGCGCGTTTTATCATTTGCGTTTTTCACCGCAGGCATGCGAACGGATTGATTGCGCGCCGACTGCACACCGTCAGCGATTGCCGATATATCCTCGATTGTTGAGAAACTCGCGATAAGCGACGATGGACAACACAAATCGACGTGATTCGGTACATTTCAACGAAACACAGAGATACGAGACCCACACGCGCACGCGTATGGTTTATACGCGCGTGTCAATTTGCTTATCGCGTAACGAGAGACATTTTTCCATAATTCTTGACGATTCAATGCAAATACCGCTGTTCTCGCATTTATCGCGTTACAGCACTTAATTACGAAATACGATCGAACCTCGGATATCACCGGCGGCAATTATTATACCTTCACCGTCTCCTTCTCTTTTCTCTCCTCCGGTTACACGTACAATTTCCTCCGCGCGATTTCCGCATTACGCTAAATATACCAGCTTCCACCGTATCGATCTCTGACTCGAGTTAATCTCGTGGAAAAGCCATTTATCATATTGCTTTCTACGTTCAATATTTTAACGCAGAAGAAAATATTTCTGTGTTAAGTATCTCTTATCGTCATAAAACGTTCAATGTTAAATATTTGATCGAGCAGTAGTTTCGTAGAATATTCCAACTTCAAATTTAATTTAGTTATTTATTCACGGAGTTTTCCTACCGTTACAGTGGAAACTGGACATCCTGTGTACATACAGCTGTACATACAAGAGACGCGATCCGGAGGCCACGTTATTGCGATGGATAAAAGAGAAGAGAGATAATGCTCGAGATAATAGCTCGGAATTGTTCCACATTTTTCGCATTCCTGCGACTTCGCCGCGGCACTTTCTCGGCCGCGTGATACAATCGCGTAAACAAAAGGCGCGATAAAATGTCAAAAGTCCGCGCAATTAGGGTCTTCTACCTCCGACCTTTCGCCGACGTTGGTTTCGTAGGGACCGCATTCTGTCGAGAGGCGCAGCGACACCTGAAAAGCGAGGATATCCTGTTGCCGACACTTGTCGACGCTATCCCACTACAACTGCTTTGTCCGTTATGTTTCCTCGTACGTACAACGTCGCGCGAGCATGAAAGTCCGTCCGAGGCGCGAGGGCAAGAAGGAGGACTCCGCGCCGAATGCAGATGGAAAGCGGAACGATGGCCGTTCCGAAGATTGCACGTAATTACGTGCCCCGCGTAAAAAAGAACCCGAGAAACCCGCGTTGAGCGTCCGACGACGACACGCGAGTCCCTGGTGGACTTTTCCGTCTACCTGCCTGCCTGCGGACGCGCCACGCGATTGCGAATCCAATGAACCCGCGGGCAGGTAGAAGAAGCGATTAAGCGGATAAACCGCTGTTGTCGCACGATGTTCATTCCGCGTGTTGAGAGCGACGAATTTAAAGGAAGTTCAAGATGAATCCGAGACGAAAATAAGACCGATCGATACGCGCGCGGATATCTTATCGTGAAGAACGGTCGGATGACTGTGGAACGCGTAATTTACGCTTCTACGGGCTCGCACCTTGCGCGTCATTGGGGACAGAGAGGGACCAATAACGAAATGCGGCCGACGTGAACTCTCAATAAATTATCGCACGCTGCTAATCCTGGCCTATCACTGCCAATAAATTGCTGTCCTTGGATTCGCGTCGCGCCCGCGATATCGCTCAATCATCATTTATACGAACGTATAGTTGTCGGCGTGTGCGACGGGATGCAGGTTCGTGAATAACATTAACACCGTGTGCCGACGCGGCAGCAGCTTGGTGTGAAAATAATTCTCTCTGATAATTCTCAGTTCGCGGTTTCTGTACGACAGATAAAGACCTACGGAAGCGGAAGCCCGACTCGAACTCTTTTAATTAACGAGCGATGGAAATTATCGATTAAACTAGGTCGGGACTTTGCGGTTTTGTCACTTGCATATCGCTCATTTGCTACAACAATGACATAACTCAGAAAACAAAATTTTCCAAAAACTAAGTTTGAATGTTTTGAATCATTAAAATTTTTAATATTATTACTTTTAAGTGTGATTTTGGTGCAATAACTGATTGTAGAGGAACAAAAATATCTAATAGTTATATATTAGCTCTTTATTCAGCGTATTGGATTTTCACCCTCCTTTCGCAAACAGTTCAATAATGACAATTTTTTAGTTATGTCGTTGTTGTAATGAGCGATATTTTCGTGACTCCGTCGTGGTTAAAAGTTTCTTCGCGACAAATACCATAAGGGAATTAAAAACAAGGAGAGACATTTAACGTCCTTGATTACTCTAAAAAGCAACTACTTTAATGAAATGTAATTAAATTTAATTTCGCTTTATCGGAAGCTTTGTTGCACTTGCCATTATTTTAAAAGGATGTAATACACAATTTTATAATTTAGATAGATTAATTATCGTAGATATCCGCTTTTAATTATCGTGTATTGTGTCGTTTAGCAAGTTCAAGGCCCCAGCGCCGGACGAGAGCTATGGCCGCGGTCGGGATTGGAACGTTGACTTGATACCCAAATTTCTGATGGCGAATGGTCTTCTCGTCAAGCTGCTCATTCACACGGGCGTGACGCGTTACTTGGAGTTCAAGTCGGTGGAGGGCTCGTACGTATACAAGTCGGGCAAGATCTCGAAGGTGCCGATTGACCAGCAGGAGGCCCTCTCGAGCGATCTAATGGGCCTGTTTGAGAAGCGGCGGTTCCGCAGCTTCCTCATGTGGGTGCAAAACATGCAGGAGGAAGATCCTAAGTCGTGGGATGGTTTCGATCCCTTCAACAACAGCATGAGCGCGCTGTACAGCAAGTTCAGCCTGGATAAGAACACGCAGGACTTCACTGGACACGCATTAGCGTTGTACAGGTAATGAATGACGCAGATTGACTTTGTAGGGCGAGCAATTTGTCATAAAATTACAAAGAATCCATCAAATGGACGACGTTCTCTCTCTGTTATTTTAAAGTGCGCTTTATAAAAATATACATTTGTTAATATTTTTACATCCATCTTTAAAGAGTGTTCATATCTGTGTTTTAATCAGGGATGACGACTACATAGGCCAAACTGCGATAAATACCATCAGGAGGATCAAACTGTACAGCGACAGTTTAGCGCGGTACGGAAAATCGCCGTATCTCTATCCGATGTACGGTCTGGGCGAACTTCCTCAGGGATTCGCGCGTCTTAGCGCCATTTATGGCGGCACATACATGCTGGACAAGCCGATCGACGAAATTGTCATGAAAGACGGCAAGGTAGGTGTTGCATTTGTCGTATCTCTGCAACTAAACGTGCACTTAGTCACTGCAACGCATTGTTGTTTCGTGCAGGTGGTCGGTGTCCGTTCCGGCGATGAGGTAGCTCAATGCAAACAAGTTTTTTGTGATCCCACATACGTATCTGATCGCGTGAAGAAGGTCGGTCAAGTGATAAGATGCATATGTCTCATGGATCATCCTATACCAAACACAGCTGACGCATTATCTACACAAATCATCATTCCTCAGAAACAGGTAATTATATTTTTATGACATGTATATATAAATATATAGAAGACTCAATTATATGCGTGAACGTTGATGCGGTCTTTCCTTTAATTTCAATATTGTAAAATCAAATAGGAATCTTTTAAGTCATTTATTCGCATAAATGTGAATTTGTTATTTTATATATATATATATAAGCTTTGTCTTATATCTTTAGTTAAATAAAAAAAATTTCTTTCCTCAGGTCGGTCGTAGTTCCGACATATATGTGTCTCTCGTATCGCACACCCATCAAGTTGCGGCAAAAGGCTGGTTTATCGCTATGGTCTCGACCACGGTGGAGACGAAGAATCCGGAGATCGAGATTAAGCCCGGTCTGGACCTGCTCGGCCCGATTAAACAGAAATTTATTAGCATCTCCGACTACATGGTGCCGGTAGACGACGGTCTCAACAGCCAGATATTCATATCCACCAGCTACGACGCCACCACGCACTTCGAGACCACCTGCTTAGACGTGCTCGACATATTCAAGCGCGCCACCGGCGAGGAGTTTGACTTCGACAAGGTCAAGAATGAACTCGGCGACGAGGATCAGTAACCGTAATCACGAAATGCGCGCGTGCATATATACCACACGACATTACAGGGAAATCGAAGCGCCCAGTGTATTCGCGTATTCGAGTAAAAAGAAAACATCGCTCGACGATTGCCGACCGCGTCGGTATGCAACAGTGTCTCAAGGCAGATACCACGGAACAAGTCACGCTGCGAGCAGACCTGTGCCTAATTATGTAAATTCTCTTTGATAGAGAATGAAAAACGGGAGGGGGGGGGGGCAAAGTTGGCTAAATTCTCTCTATCAAATTTCTCTCTGTCTCATTACTCTCCTAATCTCGCCCCGCTGTTCCTGCGACGTAGTCTTATTCGAAGCGCACGAATCCTCCACATTCGCACGGAAAGAAAAACTCTTGAACTCTATTTCTACGATTTCGAACATCGGATTATATAAGATTAGATCCTGTTATAAATTTATATTTTACACGAAACATGAATCCAATCTGCCAATATACATTCAAACAGAGAATAATAAAAGGAAATAAAGATAATTGTGAGACGTCCGTCACAGCGTATATACAATACCTATGTACCATATTTTAATGTATCGAAATAAGTGAAACGTTTATCGGCAGATTAAATTGTACAAAAAAATAGTCCACAGGTTCTGTAGCAACGTATGTATGTTGCTACAAAGGCTACAATACAATTGTTAAACTGACGATTGATTAACGGTACAATGTAAGTCTCATATCTCTGTTTAGATTAGCACCGATAATTCGCATAGATGTAGAGATACTTCTGAAAAGTCTCGGTCGTTGTGAATCTGGAAAAGTTTACCAATATTTGGATGTTGATTTTAAGTTTATACATTGCATTTATCGTTTCGAACAAAATAATCGAGCAATGATTTAGTTTTATACGAATTGCCAAACGGCGGGCAAAAATATTCCAATTGATAACTTTCCCTTGCTTATTGACCGTGTAGCAAAATTAGGGATAGCAAGATATATAATGCGTTATTCGATGTGTACTCGCGTGTATAATTGTAACTAATTGTTTCATCTTTCACATCCGTTTTTCTCATTAAAAAAAAAACGCTCGTTTAGAAAACAGATCATAACTATCGATAGGACGATTAGATATATCTTCAACTTCAACGTATGTTCAAAAACAGAGTTAGGAATAGGGAAGTTGCATGCTCATACACGCTTGAGACAAAGTTGGCGGCAAGTGGGGGGGAACGAAAAAAAAGTAAACGAAGGTCGATACCGAAACGTTTGAAACGAAGAAAGATATCCGGAGCGGCCAAGCATTTCATTATAGATATATTATAGATCTATATAGTATATATATTAAATATTACAAAAAGATATGTATACATATATATATATATATAAATATGAGAAAATGGAGTCGTTGAAATATTGTTGTTTCATGTGAGCTTGAAATCCGGAATACTTCATTTGCATAAGAAATCATTATTGTATTTGATAAGGAAAGGACGAGTGAGCGCGAACATTTGCATGTACATCGATCAATTAATTAACGGCGTAAGCGCGTCGGAGAAGAAACGAATCAGCCGTTTTCCTAGATTCACGTTTTACTTGCACTCTCGCATGGGTTACGATGGCGCACACGCAATTTCACATTACGTACGAAAATCTGGTGGGGAAAACGGGTATAACGAACACACTTGACTCAACTGCTAACGGATGATACGTCATTATCCATCAACTTGTAACACACGAGAGCTGAATGGAATAAACGATATTGTATTAACCGTGTACCTGTGCAATTTCGATTAGTTTAAAAAATCGGAGGATGCAAGGAGTCTAATGTGAATAGTCACATTCAGGGCAAATTTTCATATATTGTGTTATATTTAACTAAGTTTTAAGACGTACATATTGTTGTCTCTACATCCCAAGATCGCGAGATCATTATGAATAACTGGCGAAGAAAATGTTTCACCGGAAAGTTGCTTGGTCGCTAACAATTTGCCTTCCAGAAGATCGAATACTTTGAAGATGCCGTCTGTACATGCCACAAACATACATCCGTCTTCGCACCAAGGAGTCGCGAAAATAGGTGACTGCAGTTGTAACATATATTTTAATTTTGGCTCGTTTTCTTCAATTGTCCTTTGTGGTACTTCTAGATAATACAGATTTTTGTTATGACTGGCCAATATGACGTACTCGTCGCTCGTAGACTCGGGAGTCCATATCACAGGGTACGAAAATACATTGCCGTGTATCACATATCGCCACATCTGCAATGATTAAAAAGTCGGAGTGGAATACATTGAGCGACAAAAGGAAGGAAGATGTACGTTTACCTGGCAATCGGTTTCGATATCGAAACAACACAGCGTTCCAGCTACAGAACAGAATAAGGCATATCCAGTCCGGAGAACAACAGGCGCGACGAATACTGGATTCTGCAATTTACGTTTCCATGTGACACGTCCCGAAGATTGCTGTAAGGCCAGGCACGAGCCGTCTAATGTCCCGAAAAGAACCGAAGTCGATTGTTGATGCAAACAACCGGTAGCACAAATTCCACCTTGGCTCGCTTTAGTTTTCCAGACTTGACTACCATCCTGTGGGATAATATACTTTACAGATAAAATAGATAATTATCGTGTAATTTTAATTAATGACGTCGAAAACATAGATGATAATAATAATAGTGCTTATGCATCTACCTCTGTCGAAAGACAATATACATAGAAGTCGTAAGAACCCACGAATATCTTGCTCCCTTGCATGCACGTTATCGCCGTGCATTTAACCATGTCCTGCGTTTGAAACTTCCAAATTATGTCACCAGTTTTTAAATGGATACAATAAATGTATCCGTCGTAACAGCCTGCAATTAAAAACATTTATTATGTTACTTGTTAAATATTAATCTTAAATTGCAATATCGACTTACCTACAACCCCACGGAAATCTGTTAGGGCTAAAACGGAAGCTTCTATTCTATCTGGCAGTTTTATCTCATACGGCGCACTATCGGTGTTTAGCAAATTAGCAGTACATATAATGCCGGAATGTGAAGCGACTGTTGCGTACAATTCTGTTCTAAAAATTAACAAACATTATACATACATATATTATTTTGGGTTTTAAATTCACTCTCTGAAGTATTGATTAATATTAATCCTGAATGTTTTATTAAAAAATAATTTTCTTCATTCTTACGCGGAATAACGGTATATAGTTGGCGAAGCATCGACGCACTTCTGTAAGTTATAAGTTGCTAATACTTCAACGCTTGATATATTTTTTTCCAAGAGAGATTTGATATTTTCTTCTGCATCGCCATAAATTTTTCCCCTGCATTTGTACCACTGATAAGAATGTTTCTCGTTTGACAATAATGGAAGATTCTTTTGCGATGGTTTTGCTACACAATCTTCTGTAAATATCTTTTTGGGAAGACCATCATTGAGAGACATATCGATGGAACGACCGACAGTCTTGCCGCAATCTCGGTTAATTAAAATACTTTTGATATAATTGACACATTTGTCGAATGTAAAGTCTCTCAGCAACATACCAATTAATTCCGGAAACTCTATATTAAAAGCTTGAGCGGCAGCATTTGCCATCTGAAGCGCTGCTATTGATGTACCGCCTGCCATTAAAAAACCAGCGTCTTTAGATTTTATATGATTGTTCCACAAATTTTCAAATATTTCATTCGCGTTGATGTGCAAATCATTTACATTAATAACTTCTGTTTCGGAATTTCTACACATTTCTTTTAGTGATGCCTGGCAAATCTTTCCACTGGTAGTAAAGTTAAAGTGTTCCACTATAATTATCTTGTCGGGCTTATAGATCGCTGGTAATATCTTTAAATGCGACGTTATATCACCTCTCAATTTAGAGAAATCTTCTTTCGTGTCTCTAGTAGATAAACATAGATATAATTTGTGGCTCTCTGCGTCCCAAAAAGTAGCACAATTTCGAACGAAGTTTAATTCTGTCGTGACTCTCTCGAGTTCTCGCAAGTTCACCTTGCTTCCAAATCTTTTTACAATATTATTTCGTCTTCCTCTATAAAATATTCTATGGTGATCATCTGCCTAAAAAAATAGAAGTGACAAATTTGAATAGGCTCACCTTGTTATTGAAAACAATCTTGGGTAAATAATGAAATTTATGATAATATATTACGTTCTCTGAATAATTAATTTACAAATAAAACTTACTGAAACAATGTCGCCAGTATCGCGAAAAACTGGCTTGTTCAGATCTTCCTCAGTTTCATCTCCAACAATACAAATCCTCGTAGCACTTCCTATATTGAAGATACGTGAAAAATAGTTTATTTAAAAGTAAATTCCATAAAAATATTTCACACACATATATATTACTTAAAAACTAACCGATATAAAGAGTACCATCGCCCCTAATTATTACTTCATTATCTTCATTCCTGATTTGAAATACAGTTTCTGCTAAAGGTTCACCCAGGCAAGGTTCATCTACATTGTTTTTGACGATTTCCTTAATACTAGACCAACACGATATTTCAGTTATGCCATAGATATTAAACAATCGTGTCGCATTCCGCGGATGACTAACTTCCAAAAGCAATTTCATGCTAGGGAACGGTTCACCACCCAAAAAAAGAATTCTCAGTTCAGAGTCTTTGCCCAAGATTGTTGTTTTCAAGTGTTTGGTGGACCACCGATGGAAGAGAAGCGACGGAGTGATTTGAAGAACTGTTACACGAGCATAGAATATTTCCTCTAAGAGCCTAAAAAGCATTTATATCTCTGTACTATGAATTCTATGATTTCTTTTTAACATTGATTTATTAATATTTATTTACCTGACAGCCTCATTCTTTAATGCTTTCGAAACCATAAACAAGGTTGCAGCACAACAAAGGCTTAAAAAAATTTCGATAATACTGGGATCAAATGTAAAATTTGTTAGTTGTGCGATTTTATCAGAATTCGTTACATCCAGGATTTTCTTTAAATCTGTAATATTAGGCAATATACAGAGATGCGGCACTTTGATAATTTTTGGTGCTCCAGTTGATCCCGAAGTGGCAATTGCATATGCAAAATGATACCATTTCTTATTATTGATATTTTTTTGGACGTCTATTAATTTTGTCAAATATATTGACTGTCCATGAATATCGAATTGATGTACGATCTCTTTTTTGGGTGTTGCAGATTTCGTAAAAATATATTTTGCATTTGTAGAGGCCAATATATCTGTATATGCCAACGGATCTGTAGGTACATTGAAGAAAGCATGTCCGCTGTCGAGGATTCTGTCAAAAAGTGAATTCGAGATAAATATTCATAACAACAAATTATCTAATTAAGTATATCTGATTCAACTGTACTTTAAATATTAAAAATAATTATACTTTACCCAAGCATTAGAGAAAGCACGCAGCACTCTGAGATGTCAAAGTCAATACCAATAAATTCAGGACACTCTATACATTTCAAATGACTAGAAATTTTTTCCTTCGTTGCTTTCAGTTCTCCGTAACTTATGATCTTAACATTTTCTAAATCGTGATATTCTATAGCTGTTTTATCAAGATAAAGCCAATTGCACACGTTATGTAGAGCTTGCGAATCATTTCTGTCATCTTGTACTTTTAGTCTTTTAGTACAATTAGCTAAAAGAACGTAAGAAATATTGATAAATAACCGTATATTGTATGTTTTAAAACCATTTAAAAACCAATATTGTTTTTGGTAATTATTCAGTTTAGGAGCCTCACCTAAACAAAAATGAAGCCCCCCTTGCACTCCCCCGCCCCGCGTGTGTGTGTGTGTGTATTCATACAATCTGCAATTTAATATAGTCAGGATAAATTAATAGATTTTATTATTTTATCCTGACTATATTAAATTGTAGATGTTATGCATACACACACATACACGCGCGCGCGCGCGGGTGTAAGGGGGGCCTTCGGCCCCCCTCCCGCATCCACCACCGCCAGTAGGCAGCGTGGATCTCGTTTCATAACTTAAAGTATTCATATTCTATCTTTGTTGCTCACTAGATGTTGAAAAGAGACAGAATGACGCTTGTGTCGACTTGAGTCGCTAAATGAAAAGCACAGCACATTGTAAAGTGAAATTACAAAGCACATGCATGGAAGGGTGCAGGGGGGCTTCGCCCCCTCCCCCCGCCCACGCATGTACTTTGATATATTTATGTAAGATATATTCATCATTGAAAGCTATAAAGTGATATATTGCGGCGGAGCCCCTCCCCCGCCTATTTGTCTATGTACACATATCAACAGATTCCTACAAAACTTTGACCAAGACACAACGCATGCCACGCAATAATGTTAGGTATAATAGAGTTTAGGTATGTAATATACTGTCAGGAAAAGTTAATAGATTTATTAATCCAGTATGGTGTTTTATAACATCTACAATTAAATGTGTGAATGTATAGTAGTGACATTAATATTGATACAGAAACATTAATGTACTGATGTAGAAAAACAGTACTACATAAAAAATAAGCACAAGAAACGTATCTCTAAGCAGTGCTGGTACTTGGTTCGTCGGATGTTTCTGGCTGGTCCTCAAAAGTGGATGTAATCGGAGGATATAATTCTGCGATGACATCAAAGAAGTTTTCTATACGCTCCAAGCGGCTATAGGCGCGTTTGAAGAGATATTCGCACAAATGTTCAAGGAGGACGTGATCCTCCGTGGTTCCGTACCTTGGGATATTTTCGCGAACCTCTATCCAAACGCGCTCTATATGCTGCGTATGCGTGCCTGTAGATTTAAAAAATGTATTAGAACAATATACAAATAAACAGTAATAATATAGTTAACTATGGCAAAAAGTTCTCACCAGTTTCAGGATCGACGAAGTTGTATGAGTGGTTTACTGTCAGATGTTGGAAGCCTTCATTGTTTAAACAATTATAGGACTTCCAACAATCTGACACGATGGTAGTGCCTGGCAATGTCCACTCCTTGATACACGCCAGAAGTGTCTGTTCAGTTCGATCCTGTACTGGCACGATGAAAATCTTCTTTGTGTCTCGCTCATATCCTCCGAAAATCCAGTGATCTCTTATGAGCCGACCACGATTGTAACTTTTGTCAATTTTTGCTTCATTGATTTCTACTGTGCGTCCTGGGCCACCAAGTTTATCACTATGTTTTTCAGCCCAGAACACACAGACCTGTAAGAAGAAATAATATTATTAATATTTTGTTTCATACATTTTACACACGTATGTGTGTGTGTGTATTTATGAAGATATGTTAAAATATAATTACCTCTCGACAAAAATTGAACCAGTCAACAATCGTGGCCGACGAAACGCCAGTTTCATCTTGTGTGTCATCTTGACGTGGATAATTCAACATTAAAAAGCAAGCAACAATTTTGCATATTGTTGCCACGTCAAGATGATTTTTTCCGAACCATTCGAACCAAGTACCAGCTTTGGCACTTTTCTTGAAATTGCACTGCTTCGACACACGTTTCTTGTGCTGATTTTTTACGTAGTACCGTCTTCTACATCGGTACATTAATGTTTCTTTATCAATATTAATGTCCCTATTACATTCATTACATTTAATTGTAGACATTAAAACACCATGTTCGATTAAAAATTCTATTAACTTATCCTGACAATATGTCAGATGCCCGAACTCTATTAAGCTTAACATAATTGCGTGGCAACGTGGTGTGCAATTTCGCGTCTAACAACAGGCGATTTTTGGCTGTTTTTGGCGTGACTCTGGCTGGTATAAGCAATCAAAGGGTACCAAACTGCACTAGAACCAATAGCAAATAACAACCACCGATACCAACTTTGGTATATGTACCAAATCATCGCCAAAAATCGTCTAATAATGACATTGTCGCGCTTTATTTATTTTTTTATTAAAAATAAGGCAAATCTATAATTACATATAAATATATAGTTGCTTGTATCAGTACTCACTTGCTTGGCTCATAGTACAAATTTAACGTATTCACTGGCACTTACATTAAAAAAAATGTATTTCTTTGGCGATCAAGCATATAGTAAAATAATTTTTTTCATAATAAAATGGATAAAATCAGGAGATATTAAACATTTGTTCAAATTGAGCCCCATTGCAGGTTATGTTTTGACACTGAGGTTAGGAAATGTGGGTTCTCAACTTGCAATAGGCCTGTTCTTTTTTAGCTGAACTTCTTGCA